AGATCATACAATAGAGTTGCATCTTTTTTAAAAAAAATATATTTTATTGATTTTTTATAGAGAGGAAGAGAGAGGGATAGAGAGCTAGAAACATTGATGAGAGAGAAACATCGACCAGCTGCCTCCTGCACGCCCCCCACCGGGGATGTGCCCGCAACCATTGTACATGCTCTTGACCGGAATCGTACCTGGGACTCTCCAGTCCGCAGACTGACGCTCTATCCACTGAGCCAAACCGGTTTTGGCTAGAGTTGCATCTTATTTGTCATGTTGCATAATAAGGTTGCATCTGATTGGTTAATTCTCGGTTCCAGAAATCTTTACATACAAATACAGGCACCTTATTTTTAAAGAATTCTCGGTTGAGTATCATCCCATGTACTGGGGGGTTGCTGGTTTAATTTCTGGTCAGGACACATGCCTGGGTTGCTGGCTCCATCCCACTCTGAAATCAATAAAAACATATTTAAAAAAAAATCACTTTGAAGCAAAAGGGCAGGAAATTACTATTACTATTGTTATTATTTTAAATCAATAAAATTATACCTATTTTTTGGGTCAAGACAGGTAAGAAACAAATAATTACAATACAGTGTGATGAGTGCTGTGATAGAGGAAATATTCTAAAGGGAAAGAGGAGGGGCATCTGTCCAATAGTAATAAAAACTAGAGGCCTGGTGCATGAAATTCATGCACTTGGGAGGTGGGGGTGGTCCTTAGCCCAGCCCGCACTCTCTTGCAGTCCAGGAGCCCCCTGGGGATAAGTCAGCAGTCAGACATCCTTAGCACTGCTCAGGGCTTCTGGCTGAGTGGTGCTCCCCCGGTGGGAGCACACTGACCACCAGGGGGCAGCTCCTGCATTGAGCGTCTGTCCCCTGGTGGTCAGTGTGTGTCATAGCAACCAGTCATTCTGCCATTTGGTAGATTTGCATATTAGCCTTTTATTACATAGGATACTGTCAGGATATGGTGCATGTGAGGGAGTGGGAAAAGAGGAAACTGAGTAAGGGGACAGATGTCATTTCTTGAAAGGCCTTGACTATCATCCTCAGGGCTGGGGGTACGAACATGAGCAAGGCAAAGGCCTAGAAGAACATATTTGTAGCTATAATTCTCTCTTTTTTTTAATTATTATTTTTTTAAAAATCTTTATTGTTTATATTATTACAGATGTTCCTCTTTTTCCCCTCTCTCCGTTGCTCCCCTCCACCAGGTTCCTACCCCACCCTCTGCCCTTTCCCCATGCCCCATTGTCTTCATCCATAGGTGCAGTTTATGTTCAGTCTCTTCCCACATCCCCATCTCTCCTTTTCCCCGAGAATCATCAGATCACTCCCCTTCCATATCTCTGATTCTATTATATTCACCAGTTAATATTGTTCATCAGATTAAAAAAAAATTTTTTTTTTTGGTTTTTAGGTTCGCTTGTTGATAGTTACATATTTGTTGTTCATAGTTTTTATCTTTATTTACTTTCTCTTCCAAAAGAACCCCCTTCAGCAACTCATATAATTCTGGTTTGGTGGTGATGAACTCCTTTAGCTTTTTTTATTTTTATTGGTGAAGCTCTTTATTTGGCCTTCGATTCTGAATGATAGCTTTGCTGGGTAGATTGTTTTTGGCTGTAGGTTCTTACTATTCATCACCTTGAATATTTCTTGCCATTCCCGTCTGGCCTGCATGGTTTCTGTTGAGAAATCAGCTGACAATCATATGGGTACTTCTTTATAGGTAACTACCTGCTTTGCTCTTGCTGCTTTTAATATTCTCTCTTTATCTTTTGCTCTTGGAATTTTAATTATGATTTGTCTTGGTGTGGTCTTCTTTGAATTACTTTTGCCTGTGCGCTTCCTGAATTTGTAAGTCTAATTCTTTCACCTGGTGGGGGAAGTTTTCTGTCACTATTTCTTTCAGTATGTTTTCGATATCTTGCTCTCCCTCATCTTCTGGGACCCCCATAATTCTGATGTTGGTTCGCTTGATGTTGTCCCAGAGGTTTCTTACATTATCTTCAATTTTCTGGATTCTCTTGCCTTCTTGCTTCTGCGGAGGAGTGTCTTCTGGCTCTTTATGTTCCAAATCTTTGACTTGATTCTTGCGATCTCCCATTCTGTCATTCTGTTTTTAGGACTCTGTATAATATTTTTTATTTCAGACAATGTATTCTTTATTTCTTGTTGATCCCTTATTATTTCTAGTTGTTCCCTTTTCATATCCTCAAAGGTCTCATTTATTTTATCGGCCTTTTCTAGGAGATTCTTGAACAAACTTATGTGTGATTTTGAACTCTATATCCAGTTGCTTTTTGTCCTCTATTTCTTTCGTTTGTGATCTATTTCGTTGTCTCGACATTTTTGCAGCTTCCTTGATGGGGCAGTGTTTCAGGGTGGAGCCTACAGCCTTGGCTTCTGTCAGCCACACCCTATGCGACTCCTGAGTCTCAGTATTCCTCAGGGTCCTTCGGTACTCGCTGCAAGCACCTCTGAGAGTGAGGTGCCCTCAAGTTTCGCCTGCTACCAAACAGTCTAGTCTCTCCTGCAACGGGCCTGGAACTGGGGTTCAGTTCAGTTGGAATTGGGATTGGAGGTGGCGTCAGAGCAGTCTGAAGCCCCTGTCTCCTTCCCGCCAGGGCAATCCCGCGGCACAGCTAACTGTCTCTTCTCTGCGTGCAATGTGCGCGCCTCCTTGGCTCTGCTTTTCGCCGCTCCCCTGGGATTCCGCCTCACAGCCCAGGCTCCTCTGTTTGAGCCTGGGTCCCCGGGGTCTGGCCTAGAACTGGGGTTCAGAGCAGTCAGAACTGGGGCTCAGCACAGTCCAGAGCTTTTATCTCCTTCCCGCTAGGGAACGCCAGGCAGGCACTCAGCCTCCCCCTCCTCTCCGGCTCCGTCCTCTCCGCGCACGCCGTGTGTCTCTGTACCTTAGGCTTTTACAGCTCCTCCACTCTTCCTTCTGGTTTTCTCCTTGCTTCTCGTTGTAGAATTTCCAGTCAGTCGACTTTCCTGTAGGCCTGGGTAATGTCCATTTTATATTTTAGTTGTATTTTATTGAAATTGTTGTGTATGGCTGCGGTTGGGTGTTTACCTGTGCAGCCATCTTGGATCCTCCAAGGTAGATAATCTGTAGCTATAATTCTCACTTGTATATCAGCAGTCCTCAAATTAGTAGCTCAGGCCTAGACCTCATGCTTGAGCTCCAGATCTATATAAACCAATGGCCTTGTTGTCCTCTCTAGAATGTATCTATTATATAATGTAAGCTCAGGCAGAAGTATAGTATTCCGTACTTCAAGTTGTTGATATGTTCTGCAATTTTAAGTGAAATGATATGTAGTTAAAGCAGTTGCCCCATAGGTTAATTGATACAAACAAGAATTAAGTTCCTATGACATTTCACCAAAATTATATAACTAACTGATGTTGAACAAAATGACTTTATTCAAGAACCTGTTATATTTCACTGCCTTTGTTCTAAGCTTTATCTGCATTGTCTAAATAGTGCTTGACGATAATTTACCAAATGATTAAATAAGTAATGAGTCTGTACTGTTTCTTTCAGAGGCATCTCACACTCCACATAAATCAAATTCATGATCTCCCTCTAACCTGCTCATCTCCTAATATTTCCTATTTCAGTGATTGGCAGCATCTATTTAATTTTATAAGCCAGGAACCTGGCAGAGTTTATACTTGATATATCCCTGTTTCTCACCTTCCACATCCATTTTATCATCAAGAGTTAGGGAATTTTTGACACCTTTCCTCATATATCTATATCTCTCCATCTCCACAGTACCAGTCCAACCTACTATTATTTTACTTATAGTCTTGTACAATAATAGTTTACTCTCACCATCTACTCTTGTCCCTTTTCAGTCTATTTTCTTTGCTGCTATTGAAGTCAAATAAACCCACAGAATCTGATTCTGATATTTCTGTTTGAAACCAGGTGCTAGGATAAAGAACATAATTCTTAACATAGTCTATAAGGCCCTGTGTGCTCTGGCCCTTGGCCAGCCCTGTAGCCACATCATGTGTTACTTTTTTGGACTTTCTGTGTTCTCTTCACCTTGATTTTTTAAATTCTTCGAATGGACTATGTTTTCTCCTGCCTAAACTATGATGTATAATTCGTAGCTTTTAATACGTGTTATAAAATGGAATGTCTATTGTTAGAGAAATGAATGTATCAGTACTTTTGAGTAGGTATTTATAACCCTAAAAGTGTAATGTTCTGTGCAGCATTTTCTTGAAAAGTAAACTGACTGAATTATTGCAAATAAGCTCAAACACTTTGAATTATAATTTGTTCTTCTTTCAGATTATATAACACATTTCTATTTTTTCCCTCAAGTTAGTTAAAAAACAAACACTTATGAGCTACATTTATTCTTATTTTAAAGTAAGAAAACATTTCCTGTTGTAAATTAAGCCATTCTATTTTTTTTTTTTTAATGCTGCAGTGTTAAGATAGGCAATAATTGTAGGAAATGCCTTAATTTAAAATAAAACAAAAATTTAGGCTTTATATGAAAGCAGTGGCTTAATATGAGTGGAAGCCTCAATTCTGAAGATAGTCATCATTTTTCATAAGATTTCAAATCACCTTCTCTAATTACAAATAAAACAAATCTTGAACAGTTGCATAAGCACCAATGCTGAGCTGTGTTACTAAGTTAACTTATTGTTTTTAATTGTGAGTATCTGGGAGAGACTATTATCTAGTTTTATGTGCTAATTTATATTGTTGTACATTTGGTATTAAGTGTTTTCTAAATTTAAAGTATTTATTGAATATATTATAGTCTATTCTATAAAATGAGAATCTGGTTTGCTCATTTCAAATTAAAATGTTATTTAATCACTCAAATAACTTTAGCAGGTATTGTACCGTGTAACATGAACTTATTGTTTTTCTTTCACTTTTTTCTTTTAGTCAGTACAAAAGATTAAACTCTGTAAAAGAATGAAATCAAGTGATGGCTATTTCTTTGGAATTTGAATATGGAGGCCACAGGAACAGAAGAAGTTGACAAACTAAAAACTAAATTTATATCTGCTTGGAACAACATGAAATATAGTAAGTATTTTGAGAGTCTCATGCTCTACCGACTGAGCTAGCCGGGCACTTCCTATAGTAAGTATTTTGATTTAAAAATTGTTTAAATCCAAAGATATATTTGAAGATGAAGATTCCTTATTAAATCATTGACAATTGCCTAAAGTTCTCATTGAATGACATATTTCTGTAAGGAATGTAGATAAGAATGTCTCCTGAAGAAAGAACCAAATATCATCATCAACACTGTTTAGAAACTAAAGCATACTTATGTGCTCTCTTTAAAAAAAAAAAAAAATCCAAACAGAATTTATTCAGGTGATGGTAATACCTCTGTTTTTAGACTTAATTTCAGGCAACCTCGTGAACCAGGAAGTAAGCAAAATAGATTCTGAACACACAAAACAGACAGTATAAAGTACATGTATTTATAAATGAATTTCTCCTGGAAGTACCCTCAGACCCTTATTTTTTAACCTCGTTAATCTTGGTTTGCAAACAAATCCAAGAGGGAAGGATCATATGGCATTTTGTTTGTTTGTTTTGTTTTTTAATTTGTTTTATAGTTTATTTTTTGTTTTTATTTTTTATTTGTAAAAGAATATATTTTATTGATTTTTTACAGAGAGGAAGGGAGAGGGAGAGAAAGGTTAGAAATATCTATGAGGGAGAAATATCTATCAGTTGCCTCCTGCACACCCCCTACTGGGAATATGCCCGCAAGCAAGGTACATGCCCTTGACTGGAATGGCACCTAGGACCCTTGAGTCCGCAGGCTGACACTCTATCCACTGAGCCAAACCGGTTAGGGTTATTTGTTTGTTTTTAATTATTTCAGTTACAGTTGACTTTCAGTATTATATTAGTTTTAGGTGTACAGCATAGTAGCTAGATGTTTACATAACTTAGTTAACTTATTGTTTTAATTGTGAGTATCTCGGAGAGATTATTGTCTAGTTTTGTGTGTTAATTTATATTGTTGTGTATTTGGTATTAAGTGTTTTCTAAATTTAAAGTATTTATTGAATATACTAAAGTCTGTTCTATAAAATGAGAAATTGGTTTGCAATCCCCCCAGTAAGTATAGTACCATACATAGTTTATGATATTATTGACTATTCCCTATGCTGTTTTTTTACATCCCCATGACTATTTTGTAATTTCCAATTTGTACTTCTTACTCCCTTTACCTTTTTTACCCAACCCCATAACCCTCTCCCATCTGGCAACCAATCATATGGTATTTTTGAAGCTCACTTCAGACTAAAAAAAATAGGAGGTGAAGAAGCCTTCAGAAATGGAGAAATACTCAGCAGAACTAGTTTCAACAGGAAGAGAAGTTCATAGCCATAAAATAAAAATGATAAAATTTAGTGAAATTCCTTGATACTGCAAATTCAGGTAAAACCTGTTGGCAGTTGACTCCCAGTTCACTGGAAGTCATGGCCAGCTAGCTATTTAGACAGTTATAACTTGAAAATAACATGACATTGCACTCTGAAAATTATGAACATTAATTTTTAAAGTTGAAGTCTATATATATAAAAGTCTAAGTGAACATTTGACTTGTAGTTATGATGCATACTGACCACCAGGGGGCAGACACTCAGTGCACAGTCATGGAAACATGGGACAGACTGATGAATCTTAGAGGGAAGGGGGATGGGGAGAGGGCAGGAAGAGATTAACCAAAGACCTAATATGCATAGTAGAGACCTGGTTCACAGATTTGTGCACTGGTGGGGTCTCTTTCCTGGCCTGCAGGTATTAGGCTGAAACCAGCTCTCTGACATCCATGAGGGGTCCTGGATTGCAAGAGGGTGCAGGCCAGGCCGAGGGACCTCTAGTGTCCAGGCAATGGGCCTCTGGTATAATTTATATACTATAAAATGCACCCTTTTAAAGTGTATGTTATGAGTCAGTGGTTTTTAATATATTCACAAGGTTGTGCAACCACCATCACTATCTAATTTTAGAATATGTTTTTAGCTCAAAAAGCAACCTCATGCCCATTAGTAGCTACTCCCTATTCCTCTATACCTCCCTCCAGCTCCTGGGAACCACCAGTACATTTTCTATATCTATGGATTTCCCTATTCTGGACATTTCATGTAAATGAAATCATACAACCTGTGGCCTTTTGTGTCTGACTCTTTTCACTTAATGTTTTCAAAGTTCATCCATGTTGTAGCATGTATATATATCAGTACTTTATTCCTTTATATGGCTGAATAATATTTCATTCCATGACTATACCACATTTCTTTACCCATTCATCAGTTGATGGACATTTAGGTTATTTCTATTTTTTTTGGAATATGAATAGAGTTGCTCTGAACATTGTGTACAAGGTTTTATGTGAACATGTTTTCTGTTGTCTCAGAGTAGAATTTCTGGATCATATGTTAACTCTAAGTTTAACTTTTTGAGGAACTGCCAAACTTTTCCACAGTGGCTGCACCATTTTACATTCCCACCCTTCATGTTTGAGGGTTTGAATTACTTCACATCCTCACCAATACCTTGTCCATCCTTTTATTAGAGCCGTCCTCGTGGTTGTGAAGTATCTTACTGTGAGTTTGGTTTGCATTTCTTTGATGAACAATGATGTTAAGCATATTTTCATGTACTTACATGTATATGTATATACTTACATGTATATACTCTTTGGAGTATATATTGGCCTTACATGTATATACTCTTTGGAGTATATATTCCAAAGATTCTTTGTGCATTTTAATTGGGTTGTCCTTTTTTTTAAAATATATTCTATTAATTTTGTACAGAGAGGGAGAGAGATAGTTAGAATCATCGATGAGAGTCATCGATCAGCTGCCTCTTGCACACCTCCTATTGGGGATATGCCCGCAACCAAGGTAAATGCCCTTGACTGGAATCGAACCCGGGACCTTTCAGTCCCCAAGCTGACACTCTATCCATTGAGCCAAACCGGTTTCGGCTGGGTTGTCCTTTTGTTATTGAATTATATACTCTAGTTAAACATCCCTTAGCAAATACATGATTTGTAAATATTTTCTTCTTTCTTCCTTCCTCCCTCTCTAAAATCATTAAAAACATATCCTTGGGTAAGGATTAAAAATTCTTTTATGCCGAAACCGGTTTGGCTCAATGGATAGAGCGTCCGCTTGAGGACTGAAAGGTCCCGGGTTCGATTCCGGTCAAGGGCATGTACCTTGGTTGCGGGCTTATCCCCAGTAGGGGGTGTGCAAGAGGCAGCTGATCGATGACTCTCTCTCGTTGATGTTTCTAACTCTCTATCTCTCTCCCTTCCTCTCTGTACAAAATCAATAAAATATATCTTTTATACCATAAGAACATTGTTACCTATTTGAAAGTAAATTAAATTATTTTTTTCTCTCATGTTCTTTAAGTGGAGTGAATGTAGTTAAAATACATATTTTTAGTTCATTGTCCAAATATTTTGCTACTTTTGCAAAAAATGTACATCTATAGTTGATAATTGATGATTTGAAATTAAAGAAAATGTTGCTAGACTTTTAGTGCATAACCCTTTAATTGCAAAACAATTTTTTTCTCATTTAGGTTGGGTGTTGAAAACAAAGACATATTTTAGTAGAAATTCTCCTGTATTATTACTTGGAAAATGTTATCATTTTAAATGTGAAGGTAAGTGCTAGATTTGTAACCCATTTAAAAATATGTAGAAATTCAATATGTAACTGTTTTCACTGTTTTATTTCTAAATTAATCTACTTTTGGCGCATTTTTGTTGCTTTTTACTTCTATTTTAAAAACTGTGGTAAAATATAACATAAAATTTACCTCTTAATAATTTTTAAGTTCAATGGTATTAAATTTTCTTAAGGTTGTGATGCCATTACCACCATTTATCTCCAGAACTCTTCATTTGTAAAATAATGAAACTCCATACCCATTAAACAATAAGTCATTCCTCCCTTAACCTCAATCCCTAACAGTCACCATGTTTTGTATAGTATAGATGTGCTGGTGATGTATTTTTCTAACTTTTATGTCTCTGAAAAAGTATATTACTTTCAATTTTTGAAAGATATTTTTTGCTGGGTATAGAATTCTGGATTGATGCTTTTTTTCTTGCATAGCTTTGAAGATTTTGCCTCACTATATTCTTTTTTTTAATTTTTAATTTTTTTAAATTTTTACTTATTTATTTATTTATTAAATATATTTTATTGATTTTGTACAGAGAGGAAGGGAGAGAGAGAGAGTTAGAAACATCGATGAGAGAGAGTATCGATCAGCTGCCTCTTGCACACCCCCTACTGGGGATCTGCCCGCAACCAAGGTATATGCCCTTGACCGGAATCGAACCCGGGACCCCTTAGTCCCCAAGCCGACGCTCTATCCATTGAGCCAAACCTGTCCTGGCTGCCTCACTATATTCTTGCTTGTTTTGTTTCCAATGAGAAATCTGATGTCATCCTTATCTTTCTTTGTACATAATATCCTTTTTTTCCTTGACAGCTTTTAATTTTTTTTTTTTTTTTACCACTAGTTTAGAACAATTTGATTATGATGTGCATTGGTATAGTTCTATTCATGTTTCTTGTGTTTGGGGTTTTTTGAACTTCTTGGACTTGTTGGTTTATAGTTTTTATCAAATTTAGCTATGTTGTCTTAAAATACTTTGTTTTCCCCTCTCTTCTCTCTCCTTCTGGGTCTCCACATATACCTACAGGGTGTGGCAAAAGTGGGTTTATTGTTGTTCATATGAAATAGCCTATATAATAAAAGGCTAATATGCAAATTGTCTCCTTGACTGGGAGTTCTACTGGGAGATCGACCAGGAGGCAGGGCTGGCTGGCCAACCGCCTTGGCCCCTTCTGCCAGCTGGGCTGGCCAGACTCGTGCATGAATTTGTGCACCAGGCCTCTAGTAATACAATAATGAATAAATAATAACAAGAATAAACTCTGTTTCATGTACCCACAATTGTAAATTTACTTTGTCCTCCCCTCCCGTGTGTGTGTGTGTGTGTGTGTGTGTGTGTATAATTAAATGAAATATATCTGTGAAACTAAAACCTGAGTTGAAAAAAATTTTATCCACAAAGAAATTAGCTTGAAAACTTGTTCCTTAAGACTGGTGTGATGCATTTCCCCCCTTTTTGGGGAGTAGGAAAGAGAATGAATTATATACAAAAATAATGGAGGAAAAAATATATGATGGGGAAAATCTGATAAAAATCAATTAAACTTAAGTACAGATACACTCCAATGCAAGTTGGGAACAAAATGTTACTTCTTCCATTAGTAAGTTCCAAAGTAGTAATGCATCATTTTAGAACTTTATGTCATAAAAATATACTTTTTGTTTTTCTAGAAACACCAGTAAAAAGCACCTCTCCTTTTCATTATATTCAACAATGTCTTAACAACAGAAATCAAGCAAATAAAGACAAATGCTTTTTTCTGGGATTTATTTGCTAACTGGCTTTCCCTTCATATACTCTTCTGAGATTATAAATTCATATTTTGGTCCTAGAAATTAATATATAATGGACACCAGTTTCTTAACCTGATAACTGAAGAAGACAATTAGTTGACTGAAATTAGATATGGCTAGAATGCCTTTTAGCAGAAGGGGGTCTGTTACTCATCCCTTGTCAACCTAGTTGTATTCACCATTGGACTGTGTTCTAAGTTTAGGCTGGTTGGCTGTGCTGTCATCCAGAAATACTGTTGAGCATGAGCTATACTTTTTAGTAAGACTCCCAGGAGATACATGAAGGGGAAGGGAAATAGAAGACAATGTCACAGTAAGTTAAACCTATAAAAGTGTGGTTTTTCCTTAGTTAAAATGTCAATCGATTAAGCATTGTAATTTTTCTTATGCTCCATGAACTGCTTGAGTGTGATATCCTGTGAAGCTCTATAGTAAACCCATTAGATACTCTAACTTCCACAGATGAGATTTGAGGAATGGGTTATAAAATGCTGCCCTTGATATAGCACCTATAATCAAACCTGGCAGACACCTATTATAAATACACTATATAATAATGTGAGAAGTTTAGAGTAAGATTTTAGTATTTTATTTTCTTAAGCAATAAAAAACAGCTGCAATTTTCTATTTCTACTATTCACTTTCTACAATAAAATGTAATGCTTTATATAATATTGAAGGAAGAGGGTTTTATTGCAGTAAATGAAAGCCAATAATGAATATTTGTTCAGGAGACAGTGTGACAAAACAGATGTGCTCGAGGCAGAGGTGTGTGAGTGCTGGGCTGCCCATTCACTAACAAGCTGGAGGGGCCAAAGGTGTCTCTGGGCCCCAGTTTTCTCATCTGGAGAATAAAAGAGTTTTATAAAATTCAGATCCAAAGAAACAGATAAAACAACTTTAACACATTAACTCTCACTTCATGTTTAAATAAGATTATCATTACACTACTCAAGGGAGACCCTCAGAGAATACTTTTTATTCACTTTTAAATGTTATTAATTTTAGCCGGGTCCGGTTTGGCTCAATGGATAGAGCGTCGGCTTGAGGACTGAAGGGTCCCGGGTTCGATTCCGGTCAAGGGCATGTACCTTGGTTGCGGGCACATCCCCAGTAGGGGGTGTGCAAGAGGCAGCTGATCGATGACTCTCTCTCATCGATGTTTCTAACTCTGTATCTCTCTCCCTTCCTCTCTGTAAAAAATCAATAAAATATATTTTTAAAAAATAAATGTCATTAATTTTATTCTCTAAGTTATTTAATACTCATCCTCACCCTGTCTCACTCATGCTGCTCCTTCCCCCAAATGCCCCTACTTTACCTCCCAGACATCTTTGCCAGTAGCCACACTATACAGTCACATAGCTCCACTTGTTACAAGGTATTAACTGCTTTCAGGGCATCCCTCTCACAAAAAAGTAAGCTTCTCCAGGGAAGGGAGGACTCTGACTTCTCCCCTACCTCCAGTTGCTGAGCACTCACAGCTGTCAGTGGGTGTTTGACAAATGATTTTTTTTTCATTTTTTTATTAAGATATTATGTGTGTACATATCTTACCATTGCCCCCTCCCCACCCTACTCCCATACATGCCCTCATCCCCCAGAGTTTTGGGTCCATTGATTATGCTTATATGCATTCATACAAGTCCTTCGGTTGATATCTTATCTTCCCCACATCTCCCTAACTTTCCCAATGTAATTTGACAGTCTGTTTCAGTGTTTCCCAAACTTCTCTCATGATAAGAATCACCTGAATCCCAACTAAGATGTGCTAAACTACAATTTTTGGCAACATATAGGTAAAATTGTATACTTAACTAGTGAGAGCTCCAACCATTTAATGGTTCACTGAACAGCTACCAGAGTCATGCAGTAGAGCTCCATGCAGTGCATGGAAGTATATCCTGGAGCGCTCTCTAGATGTCAAGCTCAGTTTCAGGAGTTTCATGTCATTACTTCTCTTTATGACTTTTCTATATTTTCTAAGTCTTTTTCATCAAATGATTATTAACATTCTTACCAGAAAAAGCAGAGGAAAGATGTTGCTCAGAGATTTTTTTCCACATAATATTGCCAATTCCTTCCTTACTCACTCATCAGTGGGAGGGAGAAGGAGGGATAACTTGAGAGAGAATCATTTATTTATTTATTTATTTATTTATTTATTTATTAATATATTTTATTGATTTTTTTTACAGAGAGGAAGGGAGAGAGAGAGAGAGAGAGAGTTAGAAACATCAATGAGAGAGAATCATCGATCAGCTGCCTCTTGCACACTCCCTACTGGGATCGAACCCAGGATCCTTCAGTCCGCAGACCTGAGCCAAACCGGCTTTGGCGAGAGAGAATCTTTAGCCAGAAAATTAGGAAAACTCATAGGGTCATAACATAAAAGGTTGTATGAAGTTGATGAGCAATCATAAAATTGTATCACAGGACTTTAGTGTCTTTATTGTGTTACGGATACTACCATCAATTAGATATATTGATACCCTGTTTCCCCCAAAATAAGACAGTGTCTTTTTTTTTTTTTTAAATATATATTTTATTGATTTTTCACAGAGAGGAAGGGAGAGAGATAGAGAGCCAGAACATCGACCAGCTGCCTCCTGCACCCCCCCCACTGGGGACGTGCCCGCAACCCTGGTACATGCCCTTGACCGGAATCGAACCCGGGACCCCTCAGTCCGCAGACCGACGCTCTACTGCTGAGCCAAACCGGTTTCGGCAAGACAGTGTCTTATATTAATTTTTTCTCCCAAAGTTGCACTAGGTCTTATTTTCAGGGGATGTGTTGTCTTTCCATGCGCTAGATCTTATTTTTGGAGGATGTCTCATTTTCGGGGAAACATGGTAGGTAAAGGCAAGGTAGTAGAAAACTTCTTTTAAGTTTGACAATCTGTACTAGGTTCTTAGGAATAGCTCTTTAAAAATGACTTAGAAGAAATCATGTTGCAGCCTTAGAAGAACATTCATCTGTAATTTTGTGTAACCAAATAATTCAATTCTCCATTGTAGAAAAGCCAAAATGTTTTACACATAAAGTATTTCTTAGTTTCCAGGATAACTGATAGAAATTGTCTGAAATAAAGACATTAAAAGCAAACCTTCATTGTGCTTGTACTTTATATTTTAGTGCTATGACCTTGTTTCTATGGAAATTTGATAATAGGCAAATGCTG